TATTCCTCTTAAAATATTGGATAGGGGTTGAACAGAATGAATAAAACAGGTAAAAATTATATGCTGGTTCTGTTAATTCAACGCACGCCATAGCCACCTTCTTACAGATGTGCAACCGACAAATATTTACGACATTTGTTATTGGGTTATTTTAATTGTCTTTTGTTGAATTTAAAATCGTGAAAGCAATAATCACTTGGTTATAATCAACTTTGCTTAAGGCTTCATACAATTTTTTCCCAATATTTCAAAATAATAACGTATAATATCGTGTTGTTAGGTGGACACCAAACGGGTGCAACTATTTCCGTGTACGTGACACTCCTAAACGGGCGTACCGGTACGCAAGCGAAGCCGACCGGTGCTACCGCAGACGTAATGGGCAGGGAGGGGGGAGACTGCGCTCTCCGCGCCTCATTTTTGCTTCGTCTTGTCGCCGAGTTGACTCACTATTAGTATTTATTACACATATGCAATAGTATCGGTCAGTAGTTGGATAAAGGAGGCTATGTTGTTGACCGACGTAGCCTTCCGTATTTGCAAACTGAAGTGGCAATGGGTGGCGGTGGCGCTTAGATAAACGCAGTGAAGGGTTCCCCCTAGCTGATAGAGTGACAATATACGTAATAATATACAAGGGGTTTGGTAGCAACTGAATGCGTGAAGCCAAAGGTCGGGCCAAGTGGCGAAGCTTGGGAGAGACCTAGGTTTGCCGCAGGCGGGAAACGTAAAAGTCTTAATCTTCATCATGATTATGATTATATTTCCAGCATCGATGGCTCTCACAGTCTGAGTTATGCCTATACTTTCTTTAAGACATATGTATGATCTTGATATAAGATGATGATATACACGCACACTGATAGGATCCCACAGATCCTATCAGTGTGCGTGTATTTTTTTTATTTCTCAGGTATGTAAGTATTACGATTTTTCTGAGTTTTCTCTTTTCTCCGAGGAGTACCACAAAGCACGGTCCTGAGTCACCTGCATATATCGACTTCCTGCATATCTTACTAGGTCGTTACTCTATCGAGGGAAATTGATACAGGCGATGGGGCAACATAATATTTATGATGACAGCAAAAACTACAATAAAAAACTGAGGTTGCCAACCTGCTTACCAAGCGTGGCGACTATGTCAAACAACCCTCTATGAGCAATTGCTATCGCAAACAAATTTTTTTCATCATCATCATAACAGTCCATCACATGTCTACTGCTGTCTACAGCACGTTTCTGCGCCACCTGCATCCATAATCTTTCTGCATGTCTACAGTCTACACTTCTCTTAGCAGGCGTGGCTGCCACTCGAAAACCTTTCTTGTATATATCCGGCTAATTGCCACTTTCGGGTGTTTTTTTAGTAACAGAAAAGTAACATATACTAACTTTCCTAATTGTATGCAGTCCATAGACCTCAAAGTTTCACCAACTTCAAACAAATATCGCTACGGCGCGCGCGCGCGCGTGTTTGTGTGTGTGTGTGTGTGTTATCTCTCAATTTAATGTTTCACGGCCTGTTATAACCACGTTAGTAGGTTATTAAAATGGGTCACATTTGCCGGTCTAAATTTTAACATACCTTCATGTTTCAATCAAAGGTCTCTAAAGAGGATGGCTATGACTTTAGGACCTAAGCACTATGCTCAATGACCTCAATAGTGTTTCCCAACGGATAGGTCTTAAGATGAACATGGACAAAACAAAGATCATGTTTAATGTCCATGTCACACCTATGCCGGTAGTTGTTGGGAACACTAAGCTCGAAGTTGTTGACGAGTATGTTTACCTGGGACATATAGTCCGATTAGGTAAGTCCAACTTCGACCGAGAGGTCAATCGACGGATTCAACTCGGTTGGGCAGCGTTCGGGAAATTACGGCACATCTTCTCGTCAGGTATACCTCAAAACTTGAAAACGAGACTGTACACCCAGTGCGTGTTGCCAGTGATGACATACGGAACTGAGACGTGGTCCTTCACTACTGGCCGGATGAGGAAGCTCAAGGTCGCTCAGCGAGCTATGGAGAGGGCTATGCTCGGAGTTTCTCTGCGTGATAAACTCAGAAATGAGGATATCCGCAGTAGAACTAGAGTGACCGACATAGCCCAACGGATTAGTAAGCTGAAGTGGCAATGGGCCGGCCATATAGCTCGAAGAACCGACAACCGATGGGGAAGAAAGGTTCTCGAGTGGCAGCCTCGTACCGGCAGGCGAAGTGTAGGGCGTCCCCCCACTAAATGGAGTGACGACCTGGTAAGATATGCAGGAAGTCGATGGATGCAGGTGGCTCAGGACCGTGCTTTGTGGCATTCCTTGGGGGAGGCCTATGTTCAGCAGTGGACTTGTGAAGGGCTGTAATGATGATGATGATGATGATGACTTTAGGAAGATGTCCGCTTGTATGTATGTACGTATTTGTACATACAAGGTCAATTATCGCCTCGTACAAATCAAGAACAAATAATGATATCGATGTCGGACAGTTTTTATATAATGCGTAATTATGTAATTAGCACGGGATTAAATTTTAAAGAAAATCGGTCCAGCAGTCTTTTACTACGAATCATTTAATATTAAAAATGTACAACCGACTTCAATATAAATTATTAATAATAACTCAAAAACTATTGGTCAGACCTTGATCAAATTTATACGGGAGCACATGAGATGCACCAGCTTTCGATTAAAAAAAGAATCATCAAAATCGGGTCACCCAAAAAAAGGTAAAAACATACAGTCGAATTGAGTACTTCCTCCTTCTTGAAGTCGGTAGTAAAATATTTCTTATTTTACTATTTCATATACCAGGTATCTTAGTTTTTGCCAATTCCTAGCTTTCTTACTAAGAAATTTGTAATGTGGACCCTCCAGGTCGCACCTGCCAGCTCTTGAGGTACCTTGAAAATCACCAGCTGATTAGTGACCGCCAGTACAGTTTTCGTCTGAGTCGATCAGCTGGTGATCTTCTGGTCTACCTGACTCATAGTTGGGCGGAGGCAGTAGAGTCCACGGGGGAGGCATTGACCGTTAGTTTGGACATTGCGAAGGCCTTCCAGCAGGTCTGGCACAAAGCGCTTCTTTCGTAGCCCCCTTCCTATGGGCTTCCCGAGAAATTGTGTAATTGGATCATCAGTTTCCTTGCTGATCGGAACATCAAGGTCGTAGTAGACGGAGCATGCTCTGATTACAAGCCTATTAACACTGGTGTTTCACAATAGTGTCTTCTGCATATCAATTATATGTTGCAAACTGGTAGCATTCATTGCTATGCAGACGACAGCACTGGTGATGCCTTATACATCGGCCGTGCCAATATTTCTCGGGAAAACGTCGCCGAGTACCGGGACAAACTTGAGTCTGAAGTCGAGTTTGGTGAACAAAGTCTCGAATTAGGGGCGACTAAATCTAGTCCAGTTCCATCCCCAGATGACACAAGTTTGCGTGTTTACGGCTAAAAAGAACCCCACTGTCGTATCTCCTCAGTTTCAAGGCACTCCTCTTGCTACCTCAGCTAGCGTCGGAATCCTCGGGGTCGACATATCGAATAGAGTGCAGTTTCGTAGTCACTTGGAAGGGAAGGCCAAATTTGCCTCTAAAAAGCTTGGCTTGCTCAGAGCGAGACAGTATTTCATGCCGGCACATTGCTTCCAACTTTATAAGTGCAAATTCGGCCTCACATGGAATACTGTTCTCATCTCTGGGCCGGGGCACCCCAGTGCCAACTCCTTCTACTTGACCGCATCCCGCACAAAGCAGTTCGAATCGTCGACGATCGCGTTCTTTCTAAGCGGCTCGATTCACTGGCACTGCGTAGGGATGTTGCATACCCTTTGCATTTTCTATCGCATCTACTACGGAGAGTGCTCTGAGTAATTGTTCGGATTAATTTCAGCCGCACAATTTCACGATACCATCCTCACCATCTGGATACATGACGGTCCACCACTGTGCTTTTTGCTAGGAGTTTTCTTCCTCGTACAAATTCTACATTCACAAATTCTATATAATAATACATTCTACAAATTCTCTGGAATTGTTTAACACCGCCGATATTTCGGACCGATACGACTAAGGGACCTTCAAGAAAAGAGCTTACTGCTTTCTAATAGACCGGTATCGCACCTGCATTTCCCCTGGTATTGAGGTTGTTCATGGGCGGTGGTAGTAATTTATCATCAGGTGAGCTGCATGCTCCTTTACCTCCTCTTCTATATATATATATAAACATTTTTATACTTGGTATTTTTTGATATTGATATTATGCATATTAATAATGTCCTTCAGTCACGGCGGTCAGTCTCAACGGAGACTAGACATCTGTGCAGGATTATAGAGTCTAGAGTGTATGCGCAAACACAAGCTCTCTCTCTTTTTTTATAGGATCCGGTGACAAACGTGCACACAGTCCACCTGATGGTAAGTGGTTGCTGTGACCCATAGACATCTACATTTATCCTCGATTACGAATTAAAATACAGATGCGTTGACACCCGTGAGGACTAAGATGGAATGCCTCTTTTCTATTAAAAAGGGTCTTCGGTTCTCTACACTGACCATACGAAACACAGCAGTGTTAAGCTGCTATTTTACGCTGGTATTCTGTGAGAGCGTGGTCCTTCCCCGGTCGAGCCGACCCATTCGTGCTATAACTTACTACTAATATAGCTGCAGCATGGCTTTACCACTTATAAAATCTCTCTCTATTCCCTTAATCTCATAGTTGCATAGGACGGCAAAACGACACAACCGACGAGATCAGGCGCAGGACCAACGACTTTACGTGTCTTTCCGAATCGCGTGGGTGAAACACCGCCATCTTTCGGACTCCGGGCTGCTTATGAGAATTTATTGACAGAAAACCCAATAACTAATTTTGGCTCGACCCGGGATCTCATTATTAGCAATCGCAAATACGACCACTACACCAACTAGGCAGTCAATCGCAGATTATATGAAGAAAGAAGAAATTTAAAAGAGAAAATTATAACCTTACCGATTATTGTCTTTGAACCACTTTACGCATATTTCCATAGACTCCTTTGTATGCGCCCCGTCCAGATAGAATGTCGAATGTTCCGTTTCCACAATTTGGTATCGCCCTGGCCACTTACAGTTAGACAAACCCTTGATTGTTTCATTTGGAAGTTTTGTTATTATATTTTCTACAACTCCGTTCATAGCTACGTTTTGTTTGCTCTCCTTTCCCTCAACACCTCCGTGGGTAATATTAGTTGATTTTAAGTTATCTATTGGGGACTTTGTGTTTTTACGCATCCATGCGTGTGCAAGTTGGACTGCCAAAGAAGCATTCATACGATACGCGTCTATGTCCACGGGTAGTTTCAGTTTCAAGCCATTCTGGAATGTGTAGGATTTGTACTCCGGAACTATGTTTAGTGAACACTGGAACAAATGAAACTAATTGTATTGATTTTGTAAATGTAATTATAGTTATCTATTCTACGTCTGTTTTCGTGGTAGCTAGGGGGATATGCCCATGTCTTAAAATTTCACAGTATGCGAACCGACCGAGTTCAATCCCTCATCTAAACAAATAAATAAAATTTAAGTGTCTGTTTGTAATGTCAAAATTACAGCTTTTTAGTAAATGCATATGAAAGTATAGGTGCTAATAACAAAAATACAATTTTAAACGTTTCTGTCTGCCTGTCTGTATGTCTGTCCGTCTGTCTGTCTGTCACGTACAATTTTTATAGAATATTTTTTTTTATTCACATAGGCTCATTTACCAGCTCTCATGAATAGTCAAGATAAAAAAAAGAAATAACGTACATTGTAACAAATTAACAAATTTTAATGCATGCCCATTGAGTTATATGTAGGTACTACATACTCGAGAAGCCATTCCAAACAAAAATTGTGTCCTACTCTATATCTTCGCGCATGCGCGGGAGTAGTAGTCGCGCATGCGCGAATACTTTAATTTGATATAAAATAAGATATTAATATAAAATAAATATTAAAATTTAATATAAAATATCTTATTTTAATCTAAAGAAACATATTTATAAATAAAATGTAATAATAATTATTTTATGGAATTCACAAATCTTTAATTTACGCAATATTTAGTTTGTACGGATTGCAGTACAGTTGAGTTGAACATAGTGAATGTTCGGAATGGCTTCTCTAGTACGTAGTACATATAACTCAATGCGCATACCTAACAATTTTAATCAATGTCAAATTCCATGGGGGCTAATAAATACTCCGCTCACCAGATGTAAATAAAAAAATGTCCCCCAAGGAATGAAACAAAGCACGATCCCTAGCCACCTGCATCCATTGACTTCCTGCATGTCTTACCAGGTCGTCACTCCATATACACAGAATACCAGCGTGAAATAGCAGCTCAATACAACGTTTTACGTTAACGTTTCGTATGAATGTGTAGAGAAGCGGAGACCCTTTTTACTGGAAACGAGGTATTCTGTCTTAGTCCTCAGGGGTGTCAACGTATCTGCATTTTGATTCTTAATCAAATATAGATATAGATCTCTATCGGCCACAGTATATACTGACCATCAGGTAGACTGTTTGTTCGTTTGTTAGCCTTTTTTAGTTTTTTTTATATGATAGGGTAACAAACGAGCACACAGTCCACCTGATGGTAAGTGGTTGCTGCGGCCCATAGATAACTACATCTATCTTCGTTTGCGAATAAAAATGCAGAAGCGTTGTCACCCGTGAGGACTAAGATGAAATGCCTCTTTTCCAGAAAAAGGGTCTCCGGTTCTCTACACTCACCATACGGAACACAGCAGTGTGAAGCTGCTATTTGTCGCTGGTATTCTGTGAGAGGGTGGTCCTTCCCCGGTCGAGCCGACCCATTCGTGCTATACTACTAATATAGCTGCAGCATGGCTCTACCACGTCTAAATTTAGTGTATTTAGTTATTAATAAAATATGATTTAGTTTATTTACATCTGAGTGTGAGCGGTGAGCGGAGTATTTATTAGCCCCCATGGAATTTGACATTGATTAAAATTGTTAGGTATGCGCATTGAGTTATATGTACTACGTACTAGAGAAGCCATTCCGAACATTCACTATGTTCAACTCAACTGTACTGCAATCCGTACAAACTAAATATTGCGTAAATTAAAGGTTTGTGAATTCCATAAAATAATTATTATTACATTTTAATTATAAATATGTTTGTTTAGATTAAAATAAGATATTTTATATTAAATTTTAACATTTATTTTATATTAATATCTTATTTTATATCAAATTAAAGTACGCGCATGCGCGACTACTACTCCCGCGCATGCGCGAAGATATAGAGTAGGACACAATTTTTGTTTGGAATGGCTTCTCGAGTATGTAGTACATATAACTCAATGGGGGGAGGCCTATGTTCAGCAGTGGACTTGTGATGGGCTGTAATGATGATGATGATGACGATGATGATTCTGTGAGAGTGTGGTTCTATCCCAATCGAACCGAACCATTCGGCTTTACTTCGTAATACGAGTTCGATTAAAAAGTAAAGTTATATAAAGAGATAATTTCCATAGGTACACAATTTGATAACAATAAGGAAACGCTTAAATAACATTGTCGTGTGACTGTACTGACTTTTTACATTACTTAAACCAACAACATGAAAACTATGAAAACATACCTGAACATTCTTGGCAACTCTTTGCAGTACCTCCATGGCGTCTGGTGGTTGAGGTACAGTGTACGCTTCACAGTCGCGTTTCATGATACCGGCTTTGGCTTCAGCGATCTCGGGTAGTGTATTACCCAAAATCGAAGTGTGATCGAGGCCTAATGCTGTTATTCCGACTACTGGCACTTTCCTATGAGAGAACAAATTTTACATATTAGTATATTATCTTCAGAAATATACGCATTAATTAACTGGTACAAGTCAAATAGTACACTAGTTTTAATTTTTTGCACGCCGAGCGCAAAGCGCGTGGTTGTGTTCTACTAGCGCCTAAAAATCAAAATTCCAACGTTTAGTCGCATGAAATCGTATCCAGCAATCATATTATACATATAAATAATATAAAAAGTCCATTGTTAGAAAGATAAATGATTGTTGAACTTATTAATATTTTTTTTAATCGATTAATTGCTATTTTTAAATAAAAAATGGGGTTTTAGTGGCTTATGGTGTGGATTTATCATGTCCCCATGGCTTGTAAACACGTTAACTTTCGAAAATATCAATTGTTTAACTCAATCTATTTTTTAATCTCTTCGTCTATCATGTGGAAAGCCACTGAATATAAATGGCAGTGTAATTTTATTTTGTTTAGCTACAATTAACTTTTTTCGGCTCCAAAATGGCGAAATTTTCGTTGATTTGGTAGCCTTGTAAGTAAATTATTTCTGTAAATGGGGAGCTACAGCCACAGAGTAGTTTACTCACTAACTCAGTTCGGCCTCAGTTTTCAGTTTAAGTCGCCGTCGTGAGTGGACATTGTTTCGGTTGTTTGCAGCGGCTCAAAAAGATCGCTGTACAAATACACAATATTCGAATAACCAAATTTCTTAAATACTTGATTATAATAATAATATAAGAGATTTTTTTATTACATTATTTTAAAAGCACAGAATAAATAATAGTAGTACGTACTAAAAGTAAGTTAGTATCAATTTTTTTGTCATGGGTGACATTTTCATGGTTTTCGAGGGTGTTGAAGCCGATAGTGCTGTCGAAATGTAAATCCAAGATGGCGGCTAAATTAGGTACCAATTTTTTCATCATGGGTGTCATTTTCATGGTTTTCGAGGGTGTTGAAGCCGATAGTGCTGTCGAAATGTAAATCCAAGATGGCGGCTGCAATAGATATCAATTTTTTCATCATGGGTGTCATTTTCATGGGTTTCGAGGGTGTTGAAGCCGATAGTGCTGTCGAAATATAAATCCAAGATGGCAGCTGAAGTAGGTACCAACTTTTTCATAATGGGTGTCATTTTCACGGTTTTCGAGCGTGTTGAAGCCGATAGTGCTGTCGAAAGGTAAATCCAAGATGGCGGCTCCAATAGATATCAACTTTTTCATCATGGGTGTCATTTTCACGGTTTTCGAGCGTGTTGAAGCCGATAGTGCTGTCGAAAGGTAAATCCAAGATGGCGGCTCCAATAGATATCAACTTTTTCATCATGGGTGTCATTTTCACGGTTTTCGAGCGTGTTGAAGCCGATAGTGCTGTCGAAAGGTAAATCCAAGATGGCGGCTCCAATAGATATCAACTTTTTCATAATGGGTGTCATTTTCACGGTTTTCGAGCGTGTTGAAGCCGATAGTGCTGTCGAAAGGTAAATCCAAGATGGCGGCTCCAATAGATATCAACTTTTTCATAATGGGTGTCATTTTCACGGTTTTCGAGCGTGTTGAAGCCGATAGTGCTGTCGAAAGGTAAATCCAAGATGGCGGCTCCAATAGATATCAACTTTTTCATCATGGGTGTCATTTTCATGGTTTTCGAGGGTGCTGTCGAAATGTAAATCCAAGGTCGCGGCTGCAATAGGTATCAATTAATTCATCATGGGTGTCATTTTCATGGTTTTCGAGGGTGCTGAAGCCGATAGTGCTGTCGAAATGTAAATCCAGGATGGCGGCTGCAACAGATATCAATTTTTTCATCATGGGTGTCATTCTCATGGTTTTCGAGGGTGTTGAAGCCAATAGTACTATCGAAATGTAAATCCAAGGTGGCGGCCGCAATAGGTATAAATTTTTTCATCATGGGTGTCATTTTCATGGTTTTCGAGGGTGTTGAAGCCGATAGTGCTGTCGAAATGTAAATCCAGGATGGCAGCTGCAATAGGTATCAATTAATTCATCATGGGTGTCATTTTAATGGGTTTCGAAGGTGTTGATGCCGATAGTGTTGTCGAAATGTAAATCCAAGATGCCGCTGAAGTAGGTTTAAATTTTTTCATCATGGGTGTCATTTTAATGGTTTTCGAGGGTGTTGAAGCCGATAATGCTGTCGAAATGTTTAAATAAACTACTTTAAAAAAATTCCGTGTAATCATGCTGTACGTAAATTTTTAATGCGAAGGCAAGCTCAATTGGTTTTACCAATATATTTTAAAAATAATTACATAATATACTACATCGGACGTCTAAGATTTAAATAATACTTTAGAAAATATCTATAATATAAAAATGAATCGCTGAATGTGTTGCTAAGCGCAAATGTCTAGAGCAGCTGAACCGATTTCGCTAATTCTTTTTTTTATAATATTCCTTGAAGTACGAAGATGGTTCTTACGGAGAGAAAAATTTAAAAAATTGCCTGAAAAAATCTAAAAACAACACTTTTCTATATTCCCATACAAAAGGTTCATAATAATACTTAAAAGTCAATTTGAATTTTAATACCATACCATAAAGTTTAAGTGTTAGTGGAGGGGTTACGGGAAGGCAAAACAATTGAGTGACGTTAGTATCGTATAAATATTAATGTCAATATTTGTTAATATTTATACACACTGGCAGATAGCTGACGTTATAAGGAGTAACTTGGGCTGCTTTTATTTTAGGGTTCCGCGAAAAATAATACCACGCGGGCGAAGTCGCGGGGAACAGCTAGTTTCTAATAAATTTGAAAACTGTCCTTTTGTGAATTGTATAATAATTTATACTCGTATTTTATGTGTAAATCAATAAATTCTGTAATTGACTATATTGATTATAAGAACAAATTTCTAAATGTCAAGCGATTAAAAAAATATATATTACGGTGTAGTAATAAACCGATATTATTAACTGATAAATCTAGCAGCTCCATATATCAAAAAGGAACAATTCCCTATTATTTTGCTCGAAAGCAATCGAGTATAACTGTATCGCGTGTGACTAATATCAACAATTTTTACGATAAAAAAACGGCGCCTAAAGGTACAATACTGTATTACTTTAAAATAATAAATAAAAACATCTTTTTCGTGAATACAAATAAGATTTGTTTGAAAATATTACATCAAAATTATATTACCAAAACAAGATTTATTAGTGTTAACATTAGATGAATTAGATAAGGCAGGAAACGTCCTTGATGTTATATGTTTTTCAGAAACGTTCTTGCGTAGAGATCATGAAAAATACTTAAACATTAATAATTATGAATTAGTCAGCTCGTTCTGTAGGGATGAGTTAAAAGGCGGTACGAGTATCTTAATGAAGCGAGATATTGTATATAAAAAAGTAAATAAAATAAATAGTTTAGCAACGCAAAACATATTTAGAGTTTGTGGTATTGCGATTCCTCTTTATAATTTGCTTATAGTTTGTCTCTATATAATTCCTTCTACAGACGCAATTTTGTTTTTGGACAAATTAGACGAAATGTTACGTGAAATATTTAAAAACACTAAACCTAATACTAAACTTGTTATTACTGGTGGTCTGAATACAAATACTCTTAAACCAGGAAAAGCCAACACTTATCTGCATGATTTATGTCACAATTACAGTCTAAAAATTCATATTAATGTTCCAACTAGAAAGGAGACATGTATAGACCATATTCTAAGTAATATAAAAGGAGCATATTGTGGCGAAGCCATTAGCCATGAATATATCGAATACTAGGCGCATTCAATTAGTTCAAGTTCAAGTTGAACCAAATAATCAGATGCGCCAAGTGTGTAGCCGGTTCAAGTCTAACAACCGTATCATTCATTCATTTATTATATCTAGTAAAGTCCACGTTTGCTTGCTTGTATATTATCATCTTATATAGATTGCCTCATAGGGGGATTTTGCCATAGCTGCCACGCTTCGAAGTCGGGTTAGCAATGGCAAATTTTCATCTCCTGTTTTAGTTTCCCTCTGTCACCTCTTACGACACCCACAATCATACTACACGGTTATAGTTACGCCACTATATGGAACTTTATTAGAGTCGTACATCATACTATAACTAAAATATACTTTAAGTTAATGCGCTATAGCGTTTTGACATTTTTATCGCGTGTACCTATGTATAGTAATACCCGTTCTTACCTAAGGACATTGGTATAATCGACAATGCCTCCAATGCCTACTTCAACAATCGCTACATCCACTTTCTCCTTCAAGAACACGTTATATGCTAGCACCGTCAGGAATGCGAAATACTTGGGCATGTCGCCTTCGTAGCTCTGTAATCAGAACACACATGAAAATTAATCACATTATAAATATTAATGTTGTCGGGGGGGGGGGGGGGGGGGGGGTTTGGAATTATAAGGAGAAGTCCAAGACTAGTATCGTAAACGGAGAGCTGTGTGGTGGCCCAAAAAATGTATCACCCCATTTCGTCCGATGAGTGTCGTAAATGGTAACTTTGGGAAACGATAACAAAACTTTCGACAAATGACATGGCGGTATAACCATGTAAAATAGCCAGATCGCAGCGGCAAATGGCAGCATCAAAGACAACCTGTCAGGTCAATGCAATTAAGGCTTATGCTTCCTAAAACAGGAAAGGCTCATGTCCATCAGTGGACCGTGACTTTTATATTTAATTTAAAGAAAAACTAACGTTAAGATTCATAGATTACCTGTGTAGCGTACAGCCGATCGTAGACCTCGTGGAAATGCTTGGCGAAGGTGTCCTTGTTAACGATGCTACCATCCAGCCTGATGCGCTCGCGTACTTCTATTAGATGAGGAGAAGAGTAGAAGCCGGTCCTGTATCCGTGCCGGCGGAGGACTGATTCGCACATCGCACTCGTTGAACCCTGATGTAAAATGGTTTCTTTCAAACACCTAATTAAATAGTTGAACCTACGGTTAACACTCGGCCAATCAGTGGCGTAGCTAGGTGTGAGCGAAGTGGGCCCCCAGACTTTGCTACAGATGACTAACTAATTTAATCACTTGTACGATTTTTACAAATTTAAAAGCGTGTTTGTTTGGGGCCTCGCAAGAAGCCCCTCTTAAGTGGGACTGCGAGGCCATTACAACTGTCCTCAAAGACCATTAGATTGACGGAATACGAGACTTGTCAGGAATAGCAATGTCGTGTCAAAGTATGTTTGGTAGGATAGATCTATTGACTAGATCTTGGAGACGAAAGAAAAGGGGCCTCGCTGATGCAACTTCCCTCACGTATATATTATATACGTGAGGGAAGTCGCATCCAGTCCACGCTACGCCTCTGCCGCCAATAGAACAAAGTTAACAACGTCTATGGATCAATAAATAAACAGCTATAGAAAGTATTCACTATTCACTAAACTATTATATACCATGACCATATTTTTTAATAGGATAGGGTGACAACTGGCAAACGAGCACATAATCCACCTGATGGTAAGTGGCTGCTGTGACCATAGACATTTACATCTATCCTCAATAATCAAAATACAGATGCGTTGTCACCCGTGAGGACTAAGATGAAATGCCTCTATTCCAGTAAAAACGGTCTCCGGTTCCTCGTATATTCACCATACGAAACATAGCAGTGTTAAGCTGCTATTTTACACGTATTCTGTGAGAGCGTGGTCCTTCTCCGGTCGAGCCAACCCGTTCGTGCTACAACTATACTAATATAGCTGCAGCAAGACTCTATCTCGTAACAAACACTACAGACTTTATATTCACTAAACCATTATATACCATGACCATATAATGAACGTACCAAGCATAAATGGAACAGTCCAAACAACGGGATATAAACATATTCCTTGGTCCAAACACATCTAATGCCCAATATAATATGCATGGTGTCCGCTATTAGTGATTATTACTATTAATCACGTAATTGCGTGGACGTGTCATCATACATGGATAGATTCGGTATAATCAATTTTTCTATAGCTTAAGGAAACCTATAAAGAAGTGGAAAAAGTATACTAAAATGGTTGTGAGGAATTTCTGGATTCACTACACTCGTAGAAAACTAAAAGTCACTGAACACCATGAAAACACCTTATTGATGATAACTTAACATATACATATGCAACATTGTAAGCCATGCATGGAGCATGCGTACAAAGTATTCTCACTACAATATTTTTGCTGAGCTCAAATATTGCATGTTAAGACGTTATCTGTAGACAAAAGTTTATAATCTATTAGATATTAATTAATACTACTTGAACAAACAATATTAATAGTATGTATCCAGTAGCGCCATCCAGGGCTTTAGAGGTAAAAAAGATCTTTTGTCTGTAGTTTGTTGCAGGTGATCGTGGAGTACCCACCACCATCAGTTGGAGTGGTAGCTGATGTGTCATTGAGATGAAATAAAAAGTTAAGGAACATAGAAAAACTACGTGACCAAAACAATTAGGCGCATGACAGCTTAGACGTTATTAAAACTAGAGAGGGAACACCGGAACGGTGATTGGTCACTAGGGTAATAGAAGCGGGGTGCGGGCGCCGAAACCGCATTCCTGTCATGCGTCTAATTGTTTTGGCCAAGTGTACAATTATGTTTAATCATTTATTAATTTACTTGCTGTACCCCGCGACTACGCCCGCTAGTTATTTATTACGATTGAATTTCATGGGTTTTAATTTTTTTGCTTGGAACCCTAATACTTTTTCTAAAATAAAAGTAGCTAAGTTACTCTTTATATTATCAGCTGTATGCCAATGAATTTCGGAGATTAGCCGGAACAAACAGGCAGACAGAGAAATTTTTTAAAAATTGTGTTTTTGTTATAAGTACCGTATATATACTTTCATGTGCATTTAGAAAAAAGCTGTTATTTTAACATTACAAATAGACACTTCAATTTTATTTATTTGTATAGATTACAGCCGATTTCAGTTGCAAGTCCCCTGCTGAATCTCCCCCATACATTACCTCTCTGTAAATTCAAACACCAATGACTTCTTTGATAATAACATCACAGAATATCAGCGTAAAATAGCAGCTTGACACTGCTATGTTTCGTATGGTGAGTGTAGAGAACCGGAGACCCTTTTTACTGGAAAGGAGGCATTTCATCTTAGTCATCACTGGTGACAACGCATCTTCATTTTGATTCGTAATCGAGGATAGATCTAGATGTCTATGGGCCACAGCAACCACTTACCATCAGATAGACTGTGTGCTCGTTTGTCACCCTTATCCTATAAAAAAAGAAACATTGTCAATGTAAGGAATTCTACTATAAAAAGTGTGTGAAATGTTAATAACATATCGCTCCTGCCTTGCTCTTGTACTACACAACTAATCATTTTAGTACCTATAGCCATAATATAATTGAGCAATTTGTCGGATTTGTACTTATTTTACTTCTATCCACTTTATTTCTTTTCTTGATTGCAGTAAAATTGTTTTTATGCTGTTAGTTCAATCATTTTAGCTGAAAAATGTTCATGTTTTGTGGCAGATTGCGATGAAACTATCAGTTATATCGCTTTTGTATGTATAAGAGGTTGATAGATAATTTATCAAGGATCATTTCGTACCTACTCACTCACTTACCTACTTACTCACTCACCTACTTACTCACTCACTTTTCATTTATTGTGTATGGTTGTGTTTAAAACTGAAAAAAAAACCACGCTTCGGAACACTTTCTGAGGCGCAGGGGGTGACGCTCACACGGGAGGAGGTGGGAGAGTGGGTGAAATTTTACTTCGATCTATAACGTATACATGCCGATAGACAAAATTAATTTTGCCAATTTTTCTATATATTGCAATCTAGCATGCTTGAACTATGTTATTATTTCGTTTTGATATGTATTCAATGGGGAGGGCTTAGCAGCTGTAACACAGATATGTGACCTAGCATGGTTTCTAAAGATACCCTAATACAGTTTAAGAGTTGGAATAAGTCTTGTCAATATAATTTTATAACTTCGTGATTACGCAATTACTACTAAAGCAAATTACTCATGTAAACTATTATTGTTTGGGTCATGAGTTGCAGTATCTGAGATATAATATATTGTTTTATTTAAATTTCGTACACTTGTCAATACTATTACAAAATGAATACTGTACTTCATTAAGAATTGCCATACAACCTATGAGTGCCTAGTATGTCCCATGATGTTCACATATTTTATTACCACACCTGCTAGAGCAAATAATGTACAGTATAGAAGCCAACACTTTGACAATGAGTAGTTAAAGAAAATAACAACTATGCCCATTATTATTCAATCAGTGTTATTAATTATCATGTTAATAGAAATAAAAATGACAAAAACTTTACATTAGCTATTGATAAATTCATGCAATATAAAATACTCACCTTGCCTTTAGTGCCAGCCACATGTATAACAGAGAGCTTGTCTAATGCTGACAGGGACACACCCGTTCTGGCTAAGTATTTTTCCATATCTTCTATGTTTGTGCATTTCTGTAATCACAAAATCACAAACTGTAATCCTTACTTATGTAACTTACATATGTTAGTCTTCACTCATTTTCTGTGTATTAAAAGCTGTGTATTAAAAGGTTTTTAGGTTTTTTTACCACATTTTAATATAGTAATAAATGCTGGATAATTTTCTTTCACCAATAATACTTGATCCTTCTTTCACTATGCCCTAAAAAAGTCCACAGCTGGATATAAAACTCCTCCTATAGAATAGAAGGATACTGCTTTCATTGCAATTAGAAGTCAGAATGGCTACTACAATGCTAAATGTAAAATATCAAAAATTGAAGTAGTCTTGGTTTAGATATAATACACTAAATACTTGTTTAGCTTCAACTGCTCAAGGGTCACCTCCTACTAAACCCATGGGAGATGATATGAATGATAATTTGTCATCCTTACTTTCGTGACAATGTATAATTTAATAAACACCACACCTCATATATTTTTAGAGAATCCATCATAGATCACTAATAATAAAAAACTAGATACACAATCAGTGACAAAAAATATCCTTACCAAATAAGTTCTCTCTCTAACATTTGGGTACGCTTTTAATTTGTAACGTAGCTTTGTGAATACAACTTTAGGCAAAGTATTTGAGGTTGAATTTACATTAATGTATATTAATTTCAACTAGAATTATGTCAGTTTATAGAGCACTTCCTTGGGCTTTTGCTTATCTATTTTTTATTAGTGATTGATGGAATGCATAAATAAAAATCTTAAAATGTTTAAGCACTCAAATATAAAAGTATAGTTCTCACAAATAAGGCCAAATGTACAATAAGAGTAAATCATTGCAGTACAAACAAAGTTATTATTAAGCAAAATCAAAAGATCATGTGTAAGAAATCAGATTTTATTAAAACAAATATTTTACCAATTATCTAATAAATAAAATTATGTAATGGTTCTTATATTATTTTATAAATGTTTCCTTGTATCAAAATATCAATTACAGTGAAGAAGTAAATGTTATCAAAATTGTATTGTGTTAAATAAAATGTCGCAGGAATTTTATTTATGGTTGCATGTATAAGCAGACAGACTAGAGAAAACTAAGCTAATTTGAATCAGAAAGAATTACATTGCAATATTATCTGTGATTTTTTGATTAATTAAATTAGTATTTTAAAAATTATATGATACTTGCTTGGCCTAGTTTTATGTCTCTTCTAATTTGCGCTATAGTCGATTTGTTTGACTGTAATAAATTTAATTTCTTCACAGCTTCCTGTAACAGGCAAATAATATATCACATGCATTATTTTTATTTCTGACGATTAATAAATAAATTAGAGAATTTCACAATATCACTAGCTCACACAAAACTCTTACAATATACATATACAATAGGTCATACTTTTTTTCATAGAAAATTTTCGTAGTGGTTATGAATCAGATGTTGAAATGAGATTCCAGGGGCACAATGAAATGTGACTTTATGAATTTTATTCATTTGTAATAAAGGTAAATAAAATATAATTTACAACATAAATATACAAATATCCGGCACTACACTAACCTCATAGCTAAATTTACTTGATGACATCCTTTTATGTATCTTACAAACTAGTAATGTACGACATAAGCCGACGCTAGTCATCGGCTCACTGCTCTCTGATTGCGAGGAGTTGAGCAAAGTGTTCTTACTCTTAATAGCATCTAAAGCAAAAAATAACCTTGGTGCTAATGACGCGACCAATCAAGATCACGTTAACTTCACATATTATACGAGATACGTAGTAGCTTTATCACTTATATCTTAAAGTGACCTCTGATCCGTGATGCGGTAACAATAAACCGAATATATCTAGTCATGAATGATTTCCAGGATTAGAACACTTCCACTGATTATCAAACATTTTCAAAACATAACCTCAAAGTTAAGCATGACAAATTACAATTGACAATCAGCTGTTGCTGTTTAATGATTGTTGTAGATAAGAAATATATATGTAGCAAGCTATTATCTTGCGCACACTCTATAATGACTCTATATAATATATTGTTTATAGTTTTATTATTCGCCAGCTCTACGCCAATGGAAGGTGTTAGGCCATACAGCCTATTCTGACTTTTATTATAAGTTGCAAGAAATTCTTTACTATATTTAAGCTGTGTCGCGTTGCATAGTTTTCGGTAAATTATTATAACACCCTGATCTAGCAAACAATTCATGACGATAGTATCTTAAGGCATCTAAACGAATAAAAAAATCTTGAAATTTATATCACCATAGAAGCGCTTGTTACATAGTTTCCACTAAAAATTCACATGCGTAAAGCTCGTGACAAAACTCTCTCTACTCTTTAATTTTATGTTAGTAATGTAATTGGGACATAGAATTTCATCACTTTTGTCCATCTATATCAAAATAAATTTCATACCATTATGTATATGGCCGTGTAGTGGCGGTTAAGAATATCCACTACCCCATATCTTCCCGTGGGTGTCGTAAAAGGCGACAAAGGGAAACAGGCAGGAGATGGACAGCAGCATCTTCCTGGTAACGGCAAAAATACAATAAAAAACTGCGGTTGCCAACCCGCTCGCCAAGCGTGGCAACTATGGCAATATACCCCCCATGATGAAAGTTACGAAGAGACGACCACCAGTCCCCGGCGGTCCCGCTATTCCTGGCTACGGTGGCGATCATGGTAACGGCGGGGCAGGGGGTGCTAAGAATCTCCGGTGGAGGTTCGGTTGCCACCTACGACGACTCGACCTGGCAACATACAACGCACGCACCCTGAGGACTGACGAGAAGATTGTGGAGCTGGAAGAAGAGATAGACAAGTTACGCTGGCATATTATGGGATTATCCGAAGTCCGAAGAGAGGGGCAGGACACGGTAATCCTCGAATCCGGCAACTTGCTCTATTACCGGGTGGGCGACCATCTGTCCCAAGGAGGTGTCGGATTTATCGTCCACAAGTCTCTCGTTAACAACGTTGTAAAGATTGAGAGTGTGTCGACGAGGGTTGCGTACCTTATATTCAGAATCACCAAACGGTATTCGCTGAAGGTCATACAGGTTTACGCACCAACCTCGGCACACCCCGATCAGGAGGTGGAGGAAATGTATGAGGATATCTCTAGAGCCATGCATTCCTCCAAAACCCAATATACGGTGTTAATGGGAGACTTCAATGCAAAACTAGGCACAAGAGAGAACGGTGAGCTGAAAGTGGGGAAATTTGGAATAGGGCAACGGAACCCAAGGGGCCAGCAGCTGGCCGACTTCATGGAGAAAGAGAGACTCTTTATGATGAACTCTCTCTTCCAGAAGCGACCCCATAGGAAGTGGACCTGGTCGAGCCCCGACGGTTCGACAAAAAATGAGATTTACTTCATTATGACGACCAGACGACAACTGTTCAATGATGTCTCAGTGATCGTGAGGGTGAAAACCGGCAGCGATCACCGAATGGTTAGAGGCACACTGAACCTAAACGTTAAGTTGGAGAGGTCTCGTCTAATGAAGTCAACGTTCCGTCCCCCTCGTGCTCTAATCCAAAGTCCCGAAACCTTTCAGCTCGAGTTACAAAACCGTTTTCAGTGCCTAGAAGACTGCAATGAAGTGGACGATTTGAATGACAAGCTCGTGGAAACTGTCCATGCGGTCGGAGCTAAGTTCTGCACAAAAACTCTCCGATCACACTCTTAATCTCATGGCTGTTAGACGGGAGATGAAGCTACATTCTTCAACAGATTTAACAGCATACAGGCAACTGAACAGACAGATCTCAAAATGCATGCGGCGGGACTTCCGCAACTTCAATACAGCTCGTATTGAAGAAGCGATCGAGCGGAACCAAGGCTCCAAAGTCTTTGCCAGAGATCTGTCTGCCAGAAATAGCCAACTATCGAAGCTGAAGTTCGAGTGTGGCAGCGTCATTTCCGGGACACCTGAAATTTTGAGTGAGATTGAGAGGTTCTATGGGCAGCTGTACACATCATCGTTGGAGCCGCACGCAAGTGTGAGTGACGATCCAAGAGCGAGTCTTATCCGAAATTATTCCGATGATATCCCGAACGTCAGTCTGAGCGAGATTAAAATGGCTCTCCAGCACCTTAAAAACGGCAAGGCCCCAGGCGAGGATGGAATTACAGCGGAGCTTCTGAAAGCGGGTGGAAAACCGGTACTTGAAGTCCTTCAGAAGCCCTTTAATTCCGTCCTCCATGGTGGCATTACACCGGAGGCGTGGAGCAGAAGTGCGGTGGTCTTGTTCTTCAAGAAAGGCGACAACGCTCTCTTGAAGAACTACAGACCGATTTCCCTTCTGAGCCGCGTTTACGTGCTGTTTTCGAGAGTCATTACGAATCGTCTCGCACGCAGACTTGACGACTTCCAGCCTCCCGAACAAGCCGGTTTCCGAAAAGGCTTTAGCACCATAGACCACATACATACCCTTCGGCAAATTGTACAGAAGTCCGAGGAGTACAATTTCCCACTACGTCTGGCGTATGTGGACTATGAGAAAGCCTTTGATTCCGTCGAAATTTGGGCGGTGCTGCAGTCCCTTCAGCGATGCCAAGTTGACTGTCGGTATATCGAAGTGTTGAACTGCTTGTACAGTAGGGCTACGATGGCTATCCGAGTACAGAACCAGAGTACGAAACCTATCTAATTGCAGAGAGGTGTAAGACAGGGTGACGTTATATCCCCGAAACTCTTCACCGCTGCATTGGAAGACGTTTTCAAGCTTCTGGACTGGAAAGGATACGGTATTAACATCAATGGCGAGTACATCACTCACCTTCGATTTGCCGACGATATAGTGCTTATGGCAGAATCGCTGGAGGACCTAAGCACTATGCTCAATGACCTCAATAGTGTTTCCCAACGGGTAGGTCTTAAGATGAACATGGACAATACAAAGATCATGTTTAATGTCCATGTCACACCTATGCCGGTAGTTGTTGGGAACACTAAGCTCGAGGTTGTTGACGAGTATGTTTACCTGGGACAAATAGTCCGACTAGGTAAGTCCAACTTCGACCGAGAGGTCAATCGACGGATTCAGCTCGGTTGGGCAGCGTTCGGGAAATTACGGCACATCTTCTCGTCAGGTATACCTCACAACTTGAAAACGAGACTGTACACCCAGTGCGTGTTGCCAGTGATGACATACGGAACTGAGACGTGGCCCTTCACTGCTGGCCGGATGAGGAAGTTCAAGGTCGCTCAGCGAGCTATGGAGACGGCTATGCTCGGAGTTTTTCTGCGTTATAAACTTAAAAAATGAAGCTATCCGCAGTAGAACCAGAGTGACCGACATAGCCCAACGGATTAGTAAGCTGAAGTGGTAATGGGCTGGTCATATAGCTCGAAGAACCGACAACCGGTGGGGAAAAAGGTTCTCGAGTGGCGGCCTCGTACCGGCGGACGAAGTGTAGAGCGTCCCCCCCCCCCCCCACTAAATGGAGTAACGACCTGGTAAGATATGCAGGAAGTCGATGGATGCAGGTGGCTCAGGACCGTGCTTTGTGGCATTCTTTGGGGGAGGCCTATGTTCAGCAGTGGACTTGTGAAGGGCTGTAATAATGATGTATATGAAAATACACGAGCAACCATCAGCTGGCGGTGAACTTCCCGCGAAAATACCGCTTTTACTTGTTATTATTACGACTTACCCGCTCTTCCGAGAGACACCATTTTGTTTATCTTCTATGATCTAAAATAAATAAACCAAATTAAAAATTTCAGGTCATTGTAGAAGCGTGCTCGTCGCGACCCCTGCCAGCCCTTTTCAGGGCTGCAATTCTACATAGCTGCGCACCCATGCCAACGGGGGTTAGGGTATCCCCTCAAGGCGACGCACACCAGCCCGTCCCCGTTGGTGTGGAATGCAGCGCGCAAAGCGGCGATGGGTACCGCCACCCGTCACGCACAGCCCGACACGGCGGAAGGTGGAGGACAGAGTGCAGAGTTGGCACGTGGAATGTTAGAGGAGGCATGAGAGATAAGACGAATGAGCTGATCGAAATAATGAAAGAAAGAGAATTAGATGTCGTGTGTATGTCGGAGACCAAACGGAAGGGCAGTGGTACTGAAGAGCTCCCTGGCGGGACGTTAGCTCTATGGTCCGGAGTCTCGGAGAGCGTGAGCGCCTGCCAAGGAGTGGGGGTGCTGCTGTCGTCTCGGTTGGTCGATATTATGACTGAATATAAGGTTGTGAACTAAAGACTTCTCTGGGTTCGCTTTAAATTGGGACTGACGAAGTTATTCCTTTTGGCTGTTTATGCGCCGGTAGCTTCGTCGTCCAGAGCTGAGCTACGTACGTACGACGACGTATATATTTTATATATAATCCGTATATATATATTTTCTCTCGAATTTTTCTTACATTCTGTACAACTTAGGCATTTAGCTTATACGAACACTAATTATCTAATATAAATATATACTTATAAATCTATAATGTCTTATTTTATAGTACACAATCTCTAAACTTCACTCTAATTGTAAAAAAGAATAATATATTTATTGATCTATAAAATCACAAAATATTATTCGTCTATTTATTTCAATGTGCGTGACCAACAGCCCTTTCATTCACACTCTGACTGAGCCGGTGCAAACCGGTTTGTACCCCGACG